GTGTACTTGCATTTTCCCCCAGGTGGGTATGTTCTNTTTGCACGTGTTCCTGACCACGTGTGTTGTGTGTTGTATATTCGGTCAGGTGTTGTTGTGACTGTTGTCTATGTGTTGTTTTGTTTGTCTGTGTTTTGTCCGTTTATGTGTAGTTTTGTCGTCTTAGTANCTTATCTTGTGTTTTAGTCATATGTCCCTAGGTGTTTCTCAAATTTGATTGGTCGTCCGTAACTGTTTCTAATTTTTGTATTTTTGTGTGTGTGTGAGTGTGTGTGTGTGTGTTTCCACCTTACTTAACTCTAGGGGTTCGTCTTCTTACTTATTTCAGGTNACGTGTCCCTAAGTTCTAAGTTGACTAAAACTTNAAATTAATATAGCCACCGAGGGCTATATCCACCTGCGCGTCAACTTTGCGCAAAAAATTTAAAAATTAAATTTTTTCTTTTTTGACTTTTTACACTGTCAACACTTTATACGCCTTATTTTACATTGGCTTATCATAAAAACAATATACAAAATAAAATTATATGATTTTTACGCATGTGCGACTTTTTCATGGAAACATTTCAAAATGACTAGAAAACTAAATAGTCGCTTTTANGGTGCGTTCCCTTTACAAATAAAGCTTCAAATAATACTTCACATTACGCATAACCCTAGCGCTTGATATATCGCACCGGTCGCGTCTTAAAGTCCCTAGACGAACTCTTATAGTCCGTTCACAGTTTAAAACTGTCATTTTCAGAGATGTCCGAGTTTTTCATCGTCGGAACCGGCATTTGCCTTCTCTCCACTAGTAGTTTGTTTTTCCGCTGCTAGGTCCCGCGTCCCTAAAGCCGTCGGTGACAAGGCTAGGTTCTCGGGCGNATTTCCTTCACCTTGTCGTGGTGCCCGGGCCTAGGGGAGCGTTGACCCGAGGAGCTATGTTGACGGGGCTCTTTGAGTCNCCGGCAGAGTCACCCATGCCAGACAGGCCCTCGAGGAGCTCCTGAACTAAGAGGGAAAATAGAGGAAGGAAAACCTTGAACAAAAATCGGGTGTTCTCAGCCCTGCTTGGTCCCCTATGCGGGGGCATCTGAAATAGGGAAATAAACCCTGACTTCAAATCCGACTCCGTCAGCCACGGCGCAATCGGACTAGAGGAGTAAACCCTGACTTCAAATCCGGGGTGTCCAGCTCCGAGAGGCGCTTTCGGGTCGGCCACTGGACTAGGGGAAAGAAAACTCTGACTTCAAACCCGAGCAGGACGNGCTCGTTACTTTTGATCGGGAACCGTCCTAGGTCAGGTTCAAGACCGATATAAAACCGCTTCTTTTCAACCCATGGGATGAGCGAAAAGAAACAAGTAGACTTAACGGACCAGGTCGACCGGACGGCCAGGTCCTGGCGCGGGGGGGCTAGTCTCCCGGGGGCCCCCGCGTTGTCATCCACCGACGGGCGAGTGGAAGAGTTCACCGCAGGCTCTTCCACCTACACTGCGTCTGCGAAGACGGACGCAGGGAGCGCNGCTCCGACTCGGAGGCTTCGGGGCGAACCTCCGACACNGAGTCGGTAAAGNGGCTTCGGCGTACGTTCCAACGGTTTGGGGGAACAGACNTCAAAGTGGAGTGCGAGACCCGCTCCACGATAGACCTTGTAGACTTGCTCTACAAGGCTATCAACGTCTGTGACGAGGTAGCGGGTCGAGCAAAAAGGCTGAAGGGCACGGACGTGAAGGCCCTTCGATCGGCGGGACGCGACGGCCGTAGAGTGGCTGACACCCTCTACTGCCGTCTGCGTGAAGAACCTGGGGCACGGAGGGCTCCCGTCCTGCCCCAGATTTACCAGCAGAATAAAGACCTCCGTAAGGAAGTAAAGCGCCTGCAGGACGAGGTAATGGCTCTGACAGCAAAAATTCGCATGCCACCACCACCTCTCCCCCTAGCACAGGAGCGTCCGTCCGAGGACGCGGTGCTTAAGCGCATCTCGGCGTTGATCGACGCCAAGCTCGCGGCCCTGAACTTCCCCGTTCGGGGGGCGGGACGCGCGGGCTCAACTGGCCGGGGCGGGGGCTGCGACTCCTCGGCGTCGCGGGAGAGAGCACGGGGAGGGGGTCAAAAGCCAAGGCAAAAGCCAAGGCAAAGCCCAAGGCCAAACCTTCGGCTCTACCCCAATCGGTGAAGGGTCCGGCTCCCTCAGCTAGTGCTGAGGGAGACCGGAGTGCTCCAGGACCCTCGTCCTCTGTTAAAGGCGGGGAATCCTGGAGCGTGGTGGTAGGCCGTAAGGCTCGACGGGCGGCCGGGTCAGCGGCTTCTGCCACCCCCGGTCGTCTGCCTAAAGGTGGAGCGCCTTTCTTAACGGTTGGCGCGGCGACGCAACCGGCAGGAGCCNNAAAAAAAGCGCTTCAGGCTCTGAGTAACAAAATCGGCAGCGATCACGCTGTCGGTCGACNCGGCACACCCTAGAGCGCTTAGCATCACGGAGGCGGTGCTCCGATGCCGTGAGGCGATACCACTGTCGTCAGTGGGTATCGCCTACGTGCAGTCACGGCGCACGATGACCGGTGATCTCATGATTGAGGTCACCGGAGAGTCGATGGGAGAGAAGGCCGATGCTCTCGCGGCTCGAGGAGGTGAAGTCGGCTCTGGCCTCGGCCGGAGGTTGCCGGGATGTGGATCACGCCGTAGGAATCCAGACAGCTAGATGCGTCCTCTCCGAGGATTCACCTTTTCAGGTAAGTAATCACCGCACAATAATACTCGTAATATATAGTTTTTATTCCTTTTACAGGTTGGATACGTAATACACGCACTTACGCTGAGTGTCTTGTGGTTTTACGTGCTTCTCATGAGCGCTCGAGATTGACTGACTCGCGCGGTGTCTCGCCGCGCCGCCTAACTGCGCGCGCATGCGCATTTGCAAACCTTTACTTTTTCTCNAAATTTGAGTTTTTTTATAAAAATAATCATTCACTTCCTATCTACCTATTTCCTATCTACCGTTGATATTCCCAGAAACATTTCGCCCTTCTAAATTTCAACCAATCAGAGACAACTTCAAATTATTGTGAAAATTTTAAAAGTTCGCAATATGCACCCAGACGACGTACCTACAATAACTAAACACATTGCACCTNCAATTAAAACCTTTTCAGACAAAAATAAATTTACCTGTAAATTTTCTTCGTAACTTTACCAAACGTCTTACTTTTACTCAAAACATGTACCGCAGCCATGAAATCAACTTTTCAAATTTTGACTCTAGGTCTCAACACTGATTACTAACTTCTTATAGTTTGAACTACTTTTACCAAAGTTCCTAAAACTTAACTCCTTGTCTTCCTGACCAATTTGTTCAACATTTGTACTTTTTCAAAATTTTGCACNTTGTTACATTTTTGTTCAAAATGTGTAAAGTTGATCTCCTAACTTACTCGGAATGTTTTTAACCCACTATAACTCTTGTCACTCACAATTACTTTTTTTCTCTCCCAGATTTTTCTAACCTAAAAAGTTGCGTAACTTTGTGTATGGCCTTTATTTTCATGTGACAACCCTTTGACACGGATATTACCAACTTTCCAATTTTTCACTTACACATACAAAACTTTCAAAGTTTGTTTTTCACGTATCAATTGTTGTATAATTGATCCACTTACCCCCACACATAATTTNNGCAACATTTGTATTTTTGGTCCTGACCTAAATTTTTCACTTTTGCTGATTCCGTCCCTTACAGAAGGAAAGTTGCTAATATTTTACATAGTACTTAAACCCGTTATTTACCTTCCACTAAACCACCTAAATAAACCTTTTTATTTTTGACTTTTCTGTTCGTAAAAGGTTTTGTCACCTTGTATACATATCTACCTTACACTACTAACACGAACTACACCCTCTAAACAAACTTTCAATTTTTTCGTTGTTCCTACTGTGTCGTAACATAATTTTCAAAATGTTTATTTTGATCTTGCCAATCTTTAAAACTAACTTATTCCGAACCTGTGGCTCGTTTTTATCAACATTTATAATTTTACCCCTAACCTTATTCTTGCCATAAATTTTGAAAGTTTATCTTTCGGGTTTCTGAACATTCACGGTGTCATAAGTACTTCTTACAACAAGTATCACAAACATTTGGTTTTGTATCATCAGCCCGCAACTTTGTTAAATGTCATTTACTGAACACCTTCACGAGGGAGATGCCCATTAACAAATAAAATTTCCTTTTTTGGGCTGATCAAGAATTTTTGTCGAGCATCGGAGCGGTTTTTAACTGTATTGTTTTGTTTGAGTATATATAGATGGGTAATAATGATACTTATAATAAACAAGTAATATAAATTGAGTAATTAATAACAAATGCTTAAATCTAAAAGTTTACTTAATACTAACTTTTTTACTGCCTGCTCGCCAAAATAGTTTACGTCTCATAAAATAAAAAAATAAAAAATAAAAAATTGTTTCAAATAACTTTTTGTTCAATTCTGCTCCACTAGTTGTTCATTGAACAGATTTCGATCTCCTCTGCCTGTCCGGTCTCTTTGGNTCTTNCGCTTCCTCAGAGCTCGTTCTCACGATGTATCGGANAATGGATTTCTCCCTTACACCATCCTGGGACGTCACGAGTTGGTCTGCAAGAAGTTGGGCGGGCGGTACAGCCTCTACGGCCTCCGGTTGCATTACCCCCTCCATTTTATCAATTGGAGGCAATGGTGCCAATGGTACCATGTCTTCAGTTGACAAAATTTTTCCAGTATCTTCGCTATCTTCAACCTCATCAGTTGTTTGCTCCGCAGGTTGTGCTTCGACAACAACTTTGGCTGCCACGGGTTGTTCTAGACTTCGAAAAATTTGCTCCTTTGGTCCTGAAGTTGAGTAATGTGGTACGTTAAACTCAAACTGAGTTGATGTTGTGTCTAATGAATTGGTTTCTTCAACTAGAGGGTGTTGTTGTATTTCTTGTTGTTCATCTNATTGATTGTTTTGCTGATCTATTGTTTCCATCTCGTTATCTGTTGTTGTTTAAGATGTTGTTATCTTTGATGTAACTGGCTGTATTGTTACATCAATTGTTCGTATGTCAGACACGATTACCTTTGTAACAACGACCCTTGGTTGATTTGTAAGGATCATTTCAATTTGTTGTTTNGGCAATGCGTGGTGTCCTGCTTTCTGTCTTTCCTCTTCTTCAGAGTCCGAATCTGTTGGGATGTTATACACGATTTGTTTTTTCTCCTTCTGAGGCTTTAAAAGTTTCGCGTCCGGCATAACTTCTCGCGTCCTATACGTCTTGTATTTGCGCGCCTCTAAAAATTTCTTCTTCACCTTTTNGTCCTTAACTTCGTCTTTCTTTGTACGCTTTTGTTCAGATTTTTTCTTTTCTTTTTTCTGAACTTGTTTCTCTTCGTGTCCCGCTTTTCTCTTGAGAGCTTTTGGTGTCTTTGCTTTTTGTGTGCCCGAGGTTGACGGTTGTGGCTAAATTTCGCCTATTAATATTTCTGATGGCCCTGCAACTGGTTGCATTTCTCAGCCAACTATTTCAACACGTCTAGGTGCCGGAATTATTGCTTGTCGTTGATGTACTGCTTGCACCTGTCTAGGTCGCTCGGCTGCGCCACTTCTAAATTCCGCCAGCAATTTCTCCATCTCAAGCAATTCCTTTCTTTCTCGTTCTTTAACGCTATTTACTTTTTCAAGCGTTTGAGTCAAGCATCTTAGGACGTGTTCCTTTCGCGCCCTAATCTCATTTACTTCGCGCTGTGACTCCTTAATTTGTTTTTGCATTTCCATCGCTCTGGTATATAGGTCTTGCTGATTGTTCTGCATGACGCCGGTGATTATTTGTGCTTTCTCGTAAATTGTTAACTGTCCCGTCTCCCGGACTCGCCCTGNTGACACAAACCGGTTATACACGTTGTTAATGCAGAAATCTACTACAGGTTTGCTTATTGCTGCCGCGACTGCTTGAACATTCTCTATCACGACAAATGTTAATCTCGTTACAACGCCCGATATATTAACATCGACCGAGATCTCCGTTTTGGGCGGCGCGTACAATTGATTTTCAAATTCAACCGTGCGCTCACGGATTCTCGAGTTCGTGTCTCTCGCAATTATTCGCGCTAGTAAGTCCGATATAATGTTATCGTTATTATAAATGTCTAAAATAATTTGTCCATCAAACGAGCCTATTGTGCCTGANCAAGTTAGTTTAAAACCACGGCCTTCCAAAATTTCACGTGACAACGTGTCGTCTTGGGTAAATGTTTGATCTAAGCACGTAAACACTTCACTGTCACTGTCTGTTGTCATATCAGATGCACACACTGTGTCCGCAATATCACTTGTGTCTGTGTCCGTGATGTCACTTTCTTCAAGGATTAGAACGAGCAGACCACAATCTTCTGAATCAGACGGTGTGTAATTGTCACATTCATCATTGGTATGTCGGATACCAGTGCTAGTTGATGGTGCGTAAATGTCTTTACTAAATCGCACTTTTTTGATACTTTGTTTGTTTTTTTGCATGTGTTTACTAATGTCTTTGTTTTTCTGTTTCAAATCTTGTTTCTTGGAATGCTGAACTGTCTTCTCATCACTGGAAGAACTTCTGGACTGGACAANTGAACTTGTTTGTCACTTCCTGGCATTTAGGGAAGTTTCTTCACCTCTGTGCTTCTTTTCAGTAACTTTGACTAACTTTCTTCTTTTTTGTTTCAGGTCCCGGTGCTGCACCTTTAGATCCTGTTCGTCGTCGCTGCTGTCGTCCTCGTAAGAATTCTGTTGTCTTCTTAATCTACGTAGTCGTTTCCTCTCAGGTGAGATCATGTTAGCCCAATTTTTAGCATGCTCCATGATATGTTGATTAATTTNGTCATCTGTATCCACATATTCGGATTTCCCTTGTAATTGACTATTTTGTTTTATAGGTATTATTTGCTTGTTTTTGCCCTGTTCGGCATTGCGTTTTCTCGCAATCTCCTTTTGTTNCTTTTCATAAAAAAAAGTGTCCTTTCGCATCCATACCGCCGCTTCCTTNGGATCGTTTCGAAGTTTTTGTCTCTACATATCTCTTTCCTCTTTTGNAAGACTTTTGAAATATTGAATCGTTTTCTTCGATCGCAAAGTGTAAGGCTTTGTTGAGTCGGAACTGCTTCCTGAATATCTTTCCTTCTTGTTGGTTTTTTTTAGGATACCTTTTGAGTTCTTTTGTTGTTCCTCTTCCTGGACGGGTTCATCGGTGTACTTTTCTCTCTTTGATCTATCTGGATTTTTCGTAATCCTCTCGTAATCACTGTCGTCAGACGAACTTGTGTACTCCAAGTGTCTTTTCATACATACTACGAGTTTATATTTAGGATCTCGGTGCGGTCGCAGTTGTCGCGAGTTATACACTCCAATTATTCAATCATCCTCATCTTCAATCAGATAGGCATTCAAGCGAATTTCTTCCTTGATTTTATAAGGCCCTCGATATACTAGATGAATTTTTCGAGTCAGTCTTCGGCTTTTGGAACGTCTTTGAATTTTTACCCAAACTTTGCTTCCCACTTCATATGGTGGTGCATGTCCTTTTTTCTGCGCCTGCTTAGCACGTTCTTCTTGTTGCTGTTTAAGCTTATCTCGCGCTATTTGTATTAGCTCTCGCAATGTTGATTCTGGTTCATCTATTGGGATCAGGANTGGATGGATGTTCTCTTGATATTGGATATCTTGATGTAAATCAACTGGTCGAANTCCAGTACTTCGATGTTTTGTAATGTTAATTATTTTTCCGAGTCTCGGTACAATTTGGTCCCAGACATTGTGACGTCCGTGGGCGTAGGCTCTGATGACTCTGCCGATTTCCCGCATTACACGTTTTACAGGATTGGATTGCGGGTTATACGGCGACGTCTGTCTTGTGACAAACCAATTTTCTTCACCAAACATCCTCCACCTGTCCGTAGCAAATTGTCCCCNCTGTCGGTAAGCATCTNTTCGGGAGCCTCAACTTGGGATAAATATTGATCAAACAATATCTGACATATCGACTCTAACTTCTAATTTCTAATTGGATATAATTTTGTTAGTTTAGAAAAGTGGTCACAGAGTACTAGAATGTACTTATTGCCCTCAGAAATCTGCGGTAACGGTCCGAACAAATCTAGTGACACGGTCTTTTTCGGTTTTCGCGGAATCTCATAGTAATATACGCTTACGGTGGCGCGCGTATAATACTTTGCCGCAATGCAAACGTGACAAGACGACACGACGTCCCTAGCGATTCTTTCAACATTTTGCAGAGAGAAATATTTATCTATGAAACCTATTACTTTATCTGTACCGAAATGTAACAAGTACCTGTGCACNATATTTGTAAAATTCCAGGCTGCGTCATCTGGAATTACCATTCGTTCTACTCCGTACTTGCATTGTCGCACTATACCGTCTCTAATCTTATAATACTCCGGGTATTTTTCCAACCATCCTTCAATTTGATCATTTCCCGCTTGTGCTTCGCGAACAAAGTCTACTAAGTGTGAGATATCTTTACCATCGTGCGGAGAATTTATTAATGTAACGAATTTNGTTCTGTCCTCTCGTCGCTTGGTCGAAGATTCTGCAAAGTTTCGCGAAAGCGCGTNGGCGATCTGGTTANCTTTACCGGAGATGTACTATCTCTAAGTCAAATTCCTGAAGAAAACTAAACCAACGAGCTATCCGTGAGCTACTTTCGGTACACGAGCTTAAAAACTTGAGTGCCCTATGATCGGTATGTACTTTAATTTTGTGGCCCATAAGAATGGAATGCCATTTATGTAACGACCAAACTAGCGCTAAGTACTCTAATTCGGTAATTGTGTAATTTTTCTCCGCGTCTTTTAGACAACGGCTAGCGTAAGCCAATGTGTATTTCTGATCAGGGTTTTTATCAGTGTACTGGTAGAGTTTTGCTCTCAAACCAGATATTGATGCGTCTATATATACTTCGAATTTATAACCCTTTTTAAGCAAAAACAAATCTTCAGCCTCTTCAAACGCTTGTTTGATTTCGTTGAATGCCGCTTGTTCTTTGCTNGTCCACTCAAATTTAACATTTTTGCGTAACAACGCGTTCAAAGGTTCCGTCATTCGGGCTAAATTTTTTATGAACCGTCTATCCCAATTTACAGTTCCGAGAAACGACTGGACCTGTTTTTTATTCCGCGGTTTGACAAAGTTTTTTACAGCATCACGCGTCTCCTTGTTTATAGAAGCTTTTATTTCGGAATAAATATGGCCCAAAAATGTAATTTCTCTTTTTACCCATTGGCACTTGTCCTTATTGAGACGGAAACCCGCATCCTTGAGTCTGTTCAACACATAATCAATTTATCCTACACAATTTATCACTGCGCGGTGTCGAGNTAAAAACTTCATTCCGACGATAACATCATAAAGCAACTTTTTAATGATGTAAAAGTCCACAACGTATGTGAAGTCTTTGATTGTGACTTCTATCGCTGTTTTATATGACACAAGGTCACCCTTATCGGTGAATGCGCCTCTTAGCGTAAACTTATTTATGAGAATAGTAATTGCTTCTACCCCCGAGCCCACTAATTCCTCAAAAAANTCCNTGGACATCGCGTTAATCTGCGATCCAGTATCTATTAGAGCTTTACACTCCTTGTTCCCAATTTTGATTGGAATTCTTGCACTGACCCTATTTCTGGTCTTGGCTTGTTCCTCCCGAGTAAATTCTTCGAGATCTTTTAAATTTTCATCCTTTTTAAGAAAACCTATCTCTTTGGTATGACTACTCTCGCTATCCGAGTTAAACCCTGAACTTGTATCCGAACCTAGTTCTTTGATCGCCGCCGTTTTCTTTGTTTGGACAGAATNCTGTCGTCTCCGTGAAGCCGATCTTCCACTTTGCTTTTCCGCTTTTAACTTCTTATCTTTGGATTCTTTTTTCTTTTTGTCCTTATTGCTGCTTGTCGGCATTTCCATTGTTGGTTCTGGATCTTTGTCCTTTCTATAATTATCGCGACAAGTTTGGCTCGGACTTCGTGAACGACTTTCTTTGCGAGAATAATCCTTTTTGTAGGACTTGTATGTACTTTTGTTATCTTGATGGCCTCGGTCTCTCAACCCTCGCCATTCACGGTTTTGTGTCGATTTTACTGGAGCTGTACCGTACTTCTTACTTGTTCGGTCGCGAGTTTTTCTCTCCGCCTCGCAAGCTTCTTTGTCGGCATCTTGGTACGTCAAGTACTCCACCAACTGTCTCACGTCGTTTATCGTACCGGGTCTNATTCCGATTGCTGTATCATGGTCAAAATGACGTGAAATGTTGGATATAAACTTCTTATCACTTACGGGAGCATCCAACATTTTNATCTGTCGGTTCATTTCCAACACGTTTTGAGCCATGGATTTTTGTTTACCAGCTTCGAATTTACCCGTGTACAATTGTCGACGAATTTTGTCTTGTGCACTCTGATTNCAGAATCTCTCCTTGAATTGCGATAAAGCTTTCTNAATACTTTNGAAATCGTGCGATTCGAACCAGCTCGCTGCTGTTTGTTTTAGGCATCGTAAGAACCAATATAGTCTGTCTTCGGCGGACATTTCCTCACGAGTCGCAATGTTTTCAAATCGTCGCACAAACGCCATGGGATTCATATGTGAATCTTTTCCTCCATACCTCAGATCTTCGAACGGACTTTGCAAATAGCCTCCCTTTGGTAACTTTGGCATCCACATGTTTTGTGAAACAAGTTGCATGTCTGGTCGAAANGTTGGACTTTGTCGGCTCTCTGATCTCTCGATCGGACTGTACCGTCCGTCGTGGCTATCTCCCGAACTTTGACACAATTGTTGTTTTGTGGCTTCACCCTTTGTTCGTTCAAGGTCTGCGACTTTGTTTGTCAGCAAATCCATTTTTTGCACGAGTTCTACCATCAAATCGGGACAATGACCAAGCGTGACTGTTTGCATCCCTTCCGTTACTCGTTCCCCTTCATGAGCCGGAATTGTGAAAGCAACGCCATGTGTTTGTTTCGACTTCTCCATAGGTTTTTTAGGTATCGCCNTTTTTGCCTCTGAGCCGGATGACTTTGATTTGCCGCGTGTCTCTACGGGTGATCGTACGGTTGTCATTTTGTGTGTTATTATTACTAAGTTTAAAATCGAAACTTTTAATTGTTTACAATATTAGGCACGGTGTTTACTCGCGATGTTTTAGAACGATTTACACGGTCAATTTCACCTTTTAAGTGC